CGGACGCACGAACGCCACACACACCGTGCCTGGGCGCCGTGCGTGCCCCGTTTCAGTCCTAATTCAAACCGAATTCGTTGTTTTCTTTAAATAAGGCCTCCATATCCCGTTTCAGGGAGGTTACGGAGCTTAGAGAGAGGCCTAGAGACAAATTTACCTGCGTTTTTACGTTGTTTTCTTCAAGAACCCTGAGATTATTTGTAAGTTCCTACTTTTTAATTAATGACAATTAATTCTTTTCATCCCAATTCTATTTATTCTTCAATTATGAATTGCGAGTAGTTTTAATTAGGGATTTGGGATTGATGAAGGGGTTGATTATGATGTATGGCTAAATTCATGATGAATTAATTACATGAATGTTATTTAATTTGTGTTTGAATGATTTAATTGATATCTCTTGTAACCTAGAACCGCAGCTAGAATTACAATTGCTTGTAGAATAAATTAAGAGAGATCTAATTTATTCTAGGACACACTCACACACACTTAATCGTTTGCTAAGAGATTAATAGCGATTAAGGGGCCGTACGCTCGCTCATTTTGGCAATAATTTTAGGATCTTGTCGCATGAGAGATCAGTCTCGTCCCCTAAATTATTGAACTCTACGTCGCGAGAGCGGTAAGAACTTAGTAATGATTAGCAAGACTCAATTAAATTAATTTCATGGAATTAAGCATGATCAGCTAGAAATCTTATTACCCCGGAATCAATCTCTATTCCCTTCGTCATTAATTAGAAAGAACCCATTAGTTTAATTTCTTTATTTGCAATTTAATTTTCCATCAAATCAAATCTCGCACAATTTATTTATTTATTTTTCTTAGTTAGTTTTTTTTGCTGAATTTAATTAATATTTAATTCCCTTTTGTCCGTCCTTGTGGAGACGATACTCGTACTTACACCCTATACTGCTATCTATTTTAAGTGCGAGAAAACTAACATCAGTTTTTGGTGCCATTGCCGGGGGCGGTGTCGCTTTTAAGGGTTAATTAATTTCAGCGTTTTTTTAGGTTTTTCGTAGTATTATTTCTGTGCTAACCTTTCAGGTTTTTTTTTATAAACAAACATGAGATGAACACATTCAGCTCAATCCTTGGAGGAACACCATTCCCTCAAACCTCCACGAAATATTCACCATATATGTCATACCCTCCTCATCAATATTACACTCCTCACCAATATTACCCTTCCACACCATAAAATTGGCAGTCTTCTTATTCCTACCCTCCTCCAAATACGCAACAGTCCCAATCTCAATCCCCTCATCATTATGCTTATTCACAATATCCTAGGGCTAAACCAGGCCCCATTCTTGAATATCTTGTTCAAACTAAAAGTCCCGAGGAATTGGCTGATTGCTTTCCTAAAAATAGCATTTGTTCCTTCTGTGGAGGAGGTCACCATTTATGTCTTTGCCCAATTCCTCCAAATGACCATCCTTACTGGGCAACTGCATACCCCACTTCTTCCTCCCCGCAATTTACAAACACAAATGTTTCAGCCACTCCAACATTCTTGGCGCATAATGAGCCACATAATCAATTTAAGAAGACACTTTTAGAGACACTTTTATAGAGCACTTCAGCCATAACGCGAGATATAAATAGCCTGATGATTCAGCTGGCAGGATCTCAATCTGAGGAGCCTGAGTGATCCCATCCTAGCGACACCGAAACCAATCTGAGTGAACACGTCAAGGCTGTCACGCATACACATGGGAAACACCTTGATGTAGTTGATCACAATAAAGAAGCATCTATACCCGTGAAGGAAGAACTGTCATGTACATATTCAGATGTTCACCCATGCATTGTCTCAGATCTGGATTTGTTTGATTCACCGCTGAAGGATGATGCTCCCTTTATCAATGACGACCACATCATTCGAGAAGACATTGATAAAAATGGTGTTAACGAGAGTTGGGATGATCATGGGATTGAGTCAGACTGCGATGGTGGGAGTATGATGGATGATACATTTCCAGACACTTTTGATGACCCACCTCTGTTTGAACTTGAACAAGAAGATAGTAGCCTCGAGTTGTTTTTCCAAGAATACATGAAAACGTTTCAAATAGTACAAGCTGTAACTGATGAAGTCACAGATCACTGTGATTTTCATAAAGAAACTCCCCATCCGTTTGATATGCCATTAGTCTCAACCCCTTACGAGGAGGGCAATGAGCAGATCAGTCATGACATTGATGAAGCCATTGGAGTAGGTTTGAGTATTGAAGATGAGTTGGAAGAAGATAATCACAAGCTCCAAGAGAGTGGAGGCGAGATAGATGATGTCCATAATGAAGAAGTCCTGCTCCACAAACAAGATTACCTCTCTTGTACACATGCACCGATCCACTCTTATGTGGTTTCAGATTTGGATTTCTTTGATTCACTCCTTGATGATGATACTCCTTTTTGTGTGGAGAGTGACAACATCAACCGTGAAGACATTGATAAGAACGGTGTTAACGAGAGTTGGGATGCTCACATGGGGAAGTAAAAGATTTTCCTATAGTGGAATTTGAGTATTGTCTTGCTCCAGATCTAGAGACATGTTTTGAGCTTCCGATGATGCCTAGAGTAATCAATGTTTTGACTCATGTTCTATGTCCACTCAAAGAGGATGTGAGTTTCATCCTTCACTTCTGTGTTGATGAGGGTGTTTGGTGTGTTTCGGAAAATAAAGAAAAATAATTAAAATAAATTAATTAAATAAAATGACTGGAGAAAAACAAGAAAGGAGATGAAGCAAAATTAGCCAAAGCTCGTGCTACGCACGATTTCCTTAAAACGTATTTGTTGCCTCCCACGGTGCTAGGAGCGTTGCAACAATCGTTTCCCAGGATATGATGACTACGAACTAATGTTTGAGCACACAAACAAGAGTTCCAGCGAACGAGAACCAAGTATGAACACAGAAGGATTTTTGGGAGTAGCTGGAAGAGTTTTCAGCTCAAGAAAATGTGAGGAAAGTGTTGTGCGTTATCAAACCGTGTGTCTGTTGCAAAGCACCTGCCAGCTATTTATAGGAGGATTGATTGTGTGTTAAATGGGGTGTTAATGGACCTGAACGTTGGACATCAATGACCAGTCCGTTGGGCATTGAATCATCCATAAACTGTCCATTTAACGCAGCATTCCATAAACTGTCCATTTAACGCAGCATTAAAAGATAAGAACGTTGGGCATTAATTGTTGTAACGGAAGAAGTGCGCGCCAGAAGACCCCTTGGAGGGGAGTTCTTCTGGGAAAAAATTAAACGTATCTCTTGAGAGATGGATTTTTGGACGGCATTCGTGTCCGCAGGTCGCCCGCGCACACGAGTCGCGGTTTTTCTTCTCCGTTTCGGGATTTGATCGGCACCCCCCCCCCCCCCCCTGCGCGTAAGAGAGAGCCTTTCCCTTTAGGAATCTTAACTCCTTAAAAGAGGCTTCCCTTTATAAGGGGGTGAAAATCCCTTGAGTTTTTCGGTGTGGGATAAAACACACTAGAAACTCATCATTTTCCCAGTTTTTCCATTTCAACGAGCGAACTTCGAGAATCAATTTCTCATTCACCCGTTATCCGTTTTGAGCGTACCATATATCGAATTGTAGCCCTTAACAAAGACAATCCGAAACCACTTTGACCCGACCCAAATCGGAAGTGGACCCCACTCAAATAATTGCCCCAAATTGACCATTTAATGCAATTTTTTAACACATTTTTCCAACAGAGGGTTATGAAGACCATGTGCTGCCTACGTGTACTCGAGAGTTTAAGCTTGCCTCCTGCTTCCTGTTAGGATTTTGGCTTCCCGTCAAGGAGTGGGGACGTTCGTCTCCATGATCTTGCCTCCTGTTTCCTGCTGGGCCCAGAGTCCTGCGAGACGTGCGTCAGCCGCTGCCCTTGGGTCAAAGCACCCGCCTATGCTAGAATACGGACGTCTCCTGGGCCTTGGTGTTGAGACCTGGCCATGTTAGAGACGAACCTAGCTCTCCAGGATAAGCGGAAAGGTAGCTCGTCGTTTCGTGCCTTCTGGGGACGTTCGTAGGGCAGGCCTTGAGGGTTTTATGGGCCAACACCCGTTGGGCCATTAACCCAACACTACTTTTTTTTTTGTTTTAATACAATTCATATTTCATTAAAAATTAAAGTATAAAGTAATAAACATAACTTTATTTATAATAAAAATGTAAAAATAAATAAAAAGCACGAGATAAAAATTATTTAAAATTAATAAAATAAAAAAATTCGAAAAATAAAAATTTATGAAATAAAAAGCTTACAAAATAAATATAAAATAAATAAATAATGTAAAATATATAAAAAATATCCAGGCCTATGTTGCTGACTCAGCAACCTCCCGGCATCACCAGCTCCGATCACCTGAAAACAATGCCAACATGTGTCATAAATGTCATCTTGAGGCAGTTTTTGAGAAAATTTTGGCATTTTCATGAGTAAAAATGTCATATTCATGACATTTTCAGAGAAAACATTGCAGTTTTTACACAAAATGACATTTTTTAGTCGATCAGAGTTAAAGTTGTTGGGCAGTAGCCGAGACTGTGGTAAAGCTAGGCCCCCATTTTTTAAGGTCTTTTATCTATTTTTTCTTTATTTTTAAAGTTTTTAATTTTTTATAAATATTATTATTTTTTAATTTTTATGATTTTCGTGTTTTTAAAAAATATTTTAGAATTTTTTATATTTTTTACGATTTTTTGTACATAAGTTAATTTTTTTTATTATTTTTGTATTTATCACAAATTAAAATATCACTCTAATCCTATTTGGAGAAGATAAATAACATAGTCCTATTTGTGTATTTAGGGATTAACTAACCCTATTTAGGGCTATTATCTCATTGATAAGCTAAAAAGGGTTAACGAAGTGGAAAAATATGGGTTGGAAAACGGGTTTGAAGTTTCTACATGGAGTTTGGGGTGGGTGGGGGTGGGGGTGGGGGTGGGGGAGTTGGGGATTTGGAGTTATGATGCCGTGGGCAATATCAAAATTTCCCCTTTGTTTTAGAACGTATAAATCTCCGCAAATAACTAGTACTAGTACTACGTAACAGATCTAGACATCTTTAGTAAGGTTGAGCACAAAGACATTATGAAGAGATGTGTATATGTACTCGGTTTATGTATTGCTATTCATCTTGCAGCTAGCCAGACATGCCAAAAGACTGGCTGAGTGTGGGATATCCAGAAGAGAATGAAAAATTCTCAGAACTGAAGAGTGCAAGACAAAACGACTAATCGAATCATCAACTCAACTACATCGATACAAAGAGCTGCAAACAAAAAACCGTCGCAAACCCAATGGTCAAACCACATTCTGGCCATCTTCATTCTGGTCATCCACATTGTGGATGGCATCTTCACGCCTTGGACCATTGCCATAAAAGAGTTTGAGCAAAATCTGCAAGAAGGATAGGATGGTTCCCACACCATTGCTCACCTGCACTTTTTATTCCATCAATTAATCACTAATGTAGAAATCATATGCTGCCCAGAGGATTCCATTAGCAAAGCCATATTAAATAAAACTTACTAAGATAAATACGTCAAATCTAATGCAAGCATATGCTGCCCAGAGGATTCCATTAGCAAAGCCTGAAGCAACGAGCCAACCCGGCAAGTACTTCGCACTCCTGCTTCTGATCACAGTCAGCTGCATACATTACATATATACAGACGACGTTGGCTTTAATTTATACACCAATTTGAATTGAGAGATGGGACGCATCATAAGAATTACTACATTATTATAATATCAATATTTATATATATATATGGTCGTCGAACGAACTAATTCAGGGGCTAAGATTATTCATACCATGACGGAAAGAGGCGACGCGTACAAAATGATCCCGAAGACCACACACAATGATCCCACGATTTTGGTTCTCTTCTCTATGGTGTGCGCACCCAGGAGGGTCCCAGCAACTATCCCAGAAAGTAAAATCAATTGAATAAGGAACAAGCCCACCATTCTCCCCTGGAAGATATACCATTCAAATTTCATGTCCAATTTAGACAACGTCGTATGTACCGGAAGGAAAGTTAAATAGGTGTTATTACCCGTCTTCTTGAATTGTTGAAGTAAAAAAAGACGAGCAGATAGAAGAGCTCCAAGACGATGCCTGCCGTGTTTATGGTCATGACGAGAATGCTGTGTGGATGGACGAACGGCATGGCATAGAACACCCACATTAAGCAGTTCATCAGCGCCGCGTGGTACGGCCATGGATGGAAGCCTTCCACTGATTTGTTTTTTATGATTCTGTAAACCGTTGGTCTGCATAATAACGCACGCCGTAAATTGAAACAGACATTCATTGGGGCACCCCCTCCAAATATTTTTAGAGCACTGCGCAACTAATTAATCCTGCAATTGAGAGCTTAACTAAAACAAATTACAAATATTACTCAATAATGTTTTATTGCCACTACTCCAATTGCATTTGCACACCCGGCTGAAATGCTGAATGCATAACAGAATTTCAATGTATAAACTCATAACGAGTAAATGATATTGTCAGGGACAGAGAGATTATACGCATTAAATATATATTGCTAGAGAGAGAGAGAGATTACGCTGGCGAAATGAACAGAGCTGCGGAAACAATATTCCCTGTGGCAAGAAGAAGGAACAAAGTTTAGCATAGAATGTAAACTTATCAGGAAAACTCTCACACACATACAGAGAACTTTGAAATTCTATAGGGAACTCCGCGATGCTCGATCTAAATCTCGGCGTTAATATATAACCAACACGGAATATCCTACTATATATCGCAATTGCTACATTACATTTACATTGCAAGCGCAGATCCTATTCGATCATATATCAACAATCAACCTTCAATCTATCTACGCAACAATCAAATTGTGAACCAAATCCTCTTCGCTGCCAACCGTTTTCGGTCAAAATGAGTACAACAACAACCACTTGTTCGCAGTGCTAGCAAGCTCTGTACATCAACAAGCGGATAGCGAGATCGACAGAAATAAGAATCGCGTTCTAACCAGACTAAGAGCACGCTCTAATCAGCTAGCTAAGCTAGAATGTCTGATCAAATCTCATATCAAAGTCTCGGTCAAATTTTAGTCAAACACCAGCAGCTATATCTCAGCATCAAAGTTTAAAATTAAACAATATCAGTAGAGTTACACAGATAAATGTTTATACAGATACGCCGCATATAAAAGAGATTGAGGGAGAAAGACAGGATTGAAGAGATGACCGATGATGCCGATGACTGTGCGGAGGACAAGGAGGCGGTGATTCATCGCAGCTGGCCGGAGAGGGAAGAGTTCGTCAAGCCGGAAACATACCAGTTAACGTGCCGGAGCAAATGAGATTGCTAGTCATGTATAAAATGAAGGGAAGTTTGCGGGAATATAATAATTCTTCTAATTTTAATGGAGTAGGAAACCGTTCCGTGGATATATACATACAATAATATTGCATGAGTGTGTGTCTATGGAGTCAGTCTGTTATGAGGGGTATGGAATTGGCCCTCCGTTGCGCTCCAAATTACACAGACTGCCCCTCCTGATTTCTCGCAACCGCCAAAAATATATGGCCGTTGTGTATATGATTGTAATATGGCGGTTGGGATGGAAATACTCCGGCCAAGTAAAGGACGTAGGCACTTGCCTTTGTAATGGGCGATGTACTTTTAAAGGATTTCATTATTATATATTCATTGAGGTTTTTTGACGGTATTATATTAATTCAACTTAAAATTTCTAAAATACGGAGTAGCTAGTAATTTCTCGAGCTTGGTAGTGAAGTACTAAAATGTTTTTTTTTTTGTTTATTAGGTAGTGACACATAAATTCAACACATTAGCCCACATGTTTAAGAAATGTGTCAAACTATATGTCAAACTTCTCTGTTATAAATAATCATGCACAGAACCCCTTTTAAGAATAATTTAATTGTCCAGAGCCAGTCATGTATTGAAGTTCTAGCATATTTGTATAATTTAGAGATTTTGATCAGAGCCGGTCAGTATGATTGAATTGAAGTTCTACATGCGGAAATTAAAATAGGGTTAATTTTAAAATTGTAAAACCATTTTCTTTCTAAACTAGTGATATTTGTGTAATTTTTGATTGTATGTGTACACTTTTAATTAGTTTTGTGATTCGTTAGTTTGGAAATTACACACTTTTGGTGTAATGTTTTAGTTTATTTAAATTTGTGTAAATTGTTTAGATTAGAATTATTCTGAGCATACGACAGGTTAAATGCACTCAAAGGATCAAAGAATGGATCCCAAAGACCAAAGGATGTGCAAACGAACAAGATCAAAAAAGGATTTGGAAAATAGTTCACATACCCGGTCGGGTGTATGCAATACTCGATCAGGTATTGACCCGATTCACATGTCAAAATCAAAACCGAGAAACAATAGATCGTGGGATGAATATATTTGAAGATTTGGTCTCATACCCGATCGGGTATGAGTTGATTTTTTCAACTTCTCGGAAGCTGCTGAATACCCGATCGGGTACCCTACATACCCGGTCGGGTACATGACCCTACCACCTTCATTTCCCTATAAATACACTCATTTTCCTTCACATTAAATTCATTTTCCTTCTTCTATACTCTTAAGCTCAGTTTAGAATAGCATATCTTTATATTTTTCTAGCATGTTTAGTCTCCAAATGATGAGCTAAACTTCCAATTTCTTGGTTTTGCTCTTGAAGCTTGTTGATTACTCCATTAAAGTTGTGAGTTATTTTCTTAACTTCTCTTTTTGAATATTAATTCTTCCCTTAATCTCATTTCTATATTAATGTTGGGGTGCTGCTAAGTGACGATTAGTTAACGCTTCAATATTAATTATTACTTGAAACGATCAATGAGCCGATGGTTAATCATTGATGGTTTCACATATAAGTAACTTCGGTTTATTAATGCACAGTCGTGGTTAATAAACTTAAGAGAGATTAATTTTGTTGGTTAAACTGAAACTGTTGTGTTGAGGTTATCAATCTCAATTGATTTCATCAAGGAGTTAGAAAGATTAAATACTATTATTAAATCGTTATAAAACGTTGTTCTATATTTGATTAATAGTAAGGGTTATTAATGAACGGTCGTTGTTAATAACTACTCTCGATGAATTGCAGATACTCCTCGATTGAGTATTCGAGAGGGGATAAGTTATAGATATAACAAGGATCGACTGAATATATTAACAAGTGGAAAGTAGCAAAGCCAAATTCTTTTTATCTTTGAATTAAATCACATATAAGTCGTTCAACTTAGTATTTAATTAAATTAAATCACTCAATCTCAAAAACCCCCTTTAATTACTAGTTTTATTAAAAAGAGAATTGTTCATTTCCCTGTGGATACGGACTCTACCTCACTATACTACGTATAAGTGTTAGTATCGAATTTATTTTGACGCACTACGACAAAGTGCTCGTCAAATTTGGCGCCGTTGACGGGAAAGGCAATTAATTTTTCTTTTTATTTAGAATAATAAAAAAAAAAAAAAATAAACAAAATATAAAGAGTTCTTACTTTTCTATTTCTGAGCTTTGTGAAGTATATGGTTAAACATCGTCCTATAAACAAAATCACCTATCAAACAAACCCAGAAATAGAGCAAACTTTCGAGCGGTTGAAAAGTAACTTTTCAAATACCGCCTCAGAGGAATCATCTACCGGAGATTCATCAAGCGCTAATTCTCATTCTAGCGATCCCAAAGAGCCAATAACTATGACTCTTGAAACAAGAACAATGAGGGAACTCACAGCTCCTAATCTAAACCAACAACCCTTATGTATCACTTTCCCAACTCTTGATGCGGGTGCTACATTTGAGTTGAAATCCGGGCTCATACATCTACTCCCATCTTTCTACGGGCTAAGAGGAAAGGATCCAAAAAACACCTCTCGGAGTTTCACATTGTTTGCACAAGCATGTGTCTGAATGGGGTGACCGAGGAGCAAATCAAGTTGAGGGCTTTTCCATTCTCTCTTGATGTGAGTTTTCTCGCAGTTAAAATAGATTGTAATATAGTGGTGTAAGTACGAGTATCGTCTCCACAGGGACGGACAAAAGGGAATCAAGAATTATTTAAATTCAGCGATCAAAAATAAATAAAATAAATGCGTCGTGCGAGATTGGTTGGTTGAATTGAAATTAAACTAATGCGAATGAACGATTAAAATAAAAGATTGGTTTCTCTCTAATTAACGACGAAGGGGGCAGGGATTGATTCCGGGGTAATCAGATTTCTGACTGATCAGGCTTAATCACATGAAATTAATTTAATTGAGCCTAGCTAATCATTACTAAGTTCTTACCGCTCTCGCGGCGTAGAGTACAATAATTTAGGGGAAGGCATTGAGGTCCGTGTTAACCTTCTGCCTTTTGAGGTTGGCGAAGGCATTGAGGTCCATGTTAACACCTGCCAACAAAAACAAAGGGGTTAGGCCGAAGGAGAAAAGACACAAAAAGGGGGGGGGGGGGGGGGGGAAGAAAAAAAAATCCTAAGTACAAAATCAAGGAGACCCTCGGAGACTACCTCCTGCCAGCACAGGATACTTCTCGTCTGTTTCGTCGAGGAAGCGATATCTGCGGAAGCCGAGGGAAAAAAGCTCCTTGTCAGCAGTAAAGTCCTTGATGGACACTTGCTTCGTGCGGCCCGCCGGAATCCTGGCTATTATCAAGCCATCCTTCTCCAAAGCAGCGCTTCCGACCTTCGGATGCCGACGGAAACGATCCCTAAGTTCCATCGGAAAAGGGCTCTCGCCAATCCTGACGTAGCACCACCGCTCCTTCCAGCCTTTGTTGGACGAGGGCGCTTCTGTGAATAACTTCCACCGAGCCACCTGTTGCAGATTGGCGAACCCCTCGGCGTTCGCGTGACCCCCTCGGCAGAGGTTGAAGCTCTGGAAAAACAGGTCCAGGCTGGGGGTCACCCCTCGGGCCCTGCAGAGATTCAGGAAGCCCGCCACGTAGGAGTGGCTGTTGGGCGTCAACTGGCAGGGGACCAAGCCCACATACCGGAGATATTCCCGAAGGAATGGGTGCAGGGGGGACCGGAGCCCCATTGACACCGATAGGATGTGCACAGCAATGCACCCCTCGGGGGCCCGGGAAAGAACGTCATCAGGGCCCGGCGCCACCACCACATCCGAAGGCCCCACGTGCAGCTGGGTCACGTACATGTCTTCCCTATCAGCCTTCGACCCTATCTCCAGGGCAGCAGTGTTTAGCCAGGAGTACCCCTCGGGCACATCTATGGGCTTTCCCTGATCAGCAGCGACACTTTTCTTCTTGGGGGCAGTTTTCTTCTTCCCCGATTGGTTCCCGGGGGCCACTCTTATCGGCGTCGGGTTGAGGGGCCGAGAGCTCCCTGCCTCACCAACACCCCGAGGGGGAAGGACGGCCACGGTCACCTTCATCCTCTCCTTTTCTTCCTCCTCTTCTGCAACTTGCACGGCGAAGGCAAGCTCCTCGTTCTACGCCTCCTGCTCGAAGCCCTCGGCTTCGACTTCAGCCACCAAGTCCTTCTGCACCTCCATCGCCATCGCGACGTCCTCCTGGGCCGAGGGCTGCTCACTTGAGGACCCCGCGTCTGAGAAGCTCTCCTCTTCCATCGAGAGATCCCTCGATATGTCCTGGGAATCGCTTTGAGAAGACATCTACGCACTAGCTTGAGGGCTCGGAAAAACTAGGGTTTTCTAAAAAAGTTCTATCTCCTAGCCTAAAGGCACAAGGCACAGCTAACTACAACGAGAAGAGCAGGGGGGAACTGACCTTAGGGTAGGGATTGATCGAGGGCTGCTATTTCTCTCTCTAGAAATTTTTGCAGAGCTTTGCTACAATGATTTCGCACAAGGGGAAGGAAGCCAGCCATGGGGTATTTATAGGCGCTGGGATCCGGGCTTGGGCCTGGGAACCGGGCCTCCGGTTGGACTGCCATCATTACCAACCCAGGTTTCACCCAATCGGTGACGCCCGCCCACGGGGCAACCCCCCCCCCCCCCCCCCCCCAACGGCTATATCCTGACGTTACATATTCCAACGGCTATATTTCCAACAGCTATATTCTAAGAGCCCCCGGTTTTTTTTTTACTTCACCCCACTTCATCAAGGAAAGCCTCCGGGTACACTTACCCAGAGACGCTCCCAGGTTGTGCCCCACACAGTACATAACAGACGCCTTCGGGATCACTCCTTCAGAAGCCCAAGGCTTCATATCAGGCCACCCCTCGGGGATCCCCCCTCAGCACTGTGACGGTCGGGTAGCCCCCGAGGAGTATGCCTCCTTGACGGATAGCCTACGGCACACAAGTAATGGGAGCCCTCGGATATCCTCATCACCAACTAATCAACAAACAGGGGACCCCCCGGTAACGATTCAACTACTACCCGCATTCT